GTGTAACTCCACATCATGTACAGCTAGATGAACAAGAAGTTATACTCCATTGATGCATGATGTGTCAAAATGCATTCTACTGTCATGTATAACTAATTAGAACAAATATAAAATATATTTTAAAAAATTTAAAACATTGAAAGGAGATGTGAAGTTCTAATTGTTCTGTATTACATAAAATATAGATAACATTTCTTTTAAAAATAAGTTTTATGTATATATGAGGTTTTGTACACACACAGAGTTCTGTGAATATTTTTTTGTGTGTTTATAAACATCCCTATACATATACATAGATTAGTTCTCATTTCGTATGGTAGTATGGACCATAAAAATAATTACACAAGCTGAAATAATGCAAAGTGATCCTAATAAGTAATGGAAATACAATTAATCTATTACCTTTAAAATTTTTGTTCAAAACTTTAAAAACTATCTTATTGACAGTTTTAAATTTGGAAAATGAAAAAAATGCTATTATTTATTCATTACTTAAAAATGAATAAATTTTCAACTTCAAAAAAGAATTAAACATTTCATTTCTTTCCCCCCAAAATATTAATTAGTTCTGTTACGAATTTGATGTTTGTGCCCTTCCCTCCAACTCATGTTGAAGCCCCAGTCCCTCGTGTGATGGTGTTTGGAAGTGGATCCTTGGGAGGGAATTAAGCTTAGGAGAGTTCATGAGAGTTCATGATAGTGGGTCTCTCAGAATAGAGTTAATGCCTTTTTAGGAAGGGAAAGAGACCAAAGCTTAAGTGCTCTGTCTCTCTTTCTGTCTTCTCCCTTTCTCTCCACCATTTGAATATATAACCAAATGACCATCACCTGAGTTCAGTTATGCTGTCTAGCACCCCGATTTTGAACTTCCGGCCTCCATAACTGTGAGAAATAAATGTCTGTTATTTAAACCACATCTTTGGCATTTTGTTTTAGCATCCCAAGCTGATGCAGGTTGGAACAATATTTGCTGCCTTCCTATCATAAAACTTACAATATGGAGCAAGTGTCTTTTTTATGTCTTGGCTAATTGTCACATTCCTCTGTAAATTCAGATCAGCTACCAATGTTTCATTCCTTGCACTTTGAGTGTTGTGAAGTATCTCCAAGAGTTTCATCAATGGAAGTTTCCTTCAGACTTACTTCCTGCAGGACATCATCTTCTTGTTCACCATGGCCCCTTTCCTCACTCACTTCATTAGCTTTCATATCTCACTGGCTACACTTCAAGTTTTTCAGATAGTGATGATGGTGCAGACATTCCCACGGTTAGCTGTGTCTTCTACAAGTCTATGTTCTATTTCAGTTTCATTTTTAGCTTTATCACTTTTTCCTTTGCCGATGTTCTACCTTTGTTGATCAAATCCTCTTTAAATTATGAACTTTGTAAAATGTCATGTGGATTTCACACTTCTACGAGACAAGGAGTCAACAAAACCACATTCTTGGCTGTGTGTGTGCAAAGAATGATAAGTGTTCAGTGATCAATTTGAATGAAGTCACATGATTGGTCCCTGAACATATTTGCATATATTATTTACCTAGTGATTGGTAGACTGAAGAGTTGGTAGCAGAGTTTTGCCTTATGCAATTAACCATAGATACTATATCATAATTATTATTTGAATCCTATTGTTGGGGAAGTGATATTTTTAAGTTAGACTCTGTTAACTGAAAGCTCTAAAAATCAGAGTTGCTTAAATCAAATGTGCATACACATATACCCACACTCACACACCTAACAGCATATGTATTATCAATATATCGCAGCTTTATATTTTATTTTCCTATTCTTTTGGCCTAGATGTTTCTTCTTCTTCTTTATTTTATTTTTGCATATAAAATTATGTATCTTCCCCTTATTACATATAGGAGAAGACTTAGCGAGTTTATCTCTAATTAAAAGTCTCAGCATGTTCCCTAAAACTCTTAGTTAAATACAGAATAGATAGTTCTCTAGCCAGTCTATCACAAGGGCATTGTGGGGCTCTAGCTGGTGACTGGTGGGGTGGTCATCATTGCTCACATGTAATAAGCTTGCTTTCTGTCATCATTTGTGGATTTCTTATGTTTACCAGAATCCATTAATACTCAAAAAGTTGAGGAACTCAAGTTGGGGACAGCACTTGAACATTTAGCAGCAGTAAAATTTTGTGATAAATTTGACATAAAAATATTCCTGTTGTCCTCTACCTGTTTCTCCATCCACCCTGTGTAATAAGACCATAGTTCCTCCCTCAGTCCTTGAATCTTAGCCTTGGGACTTGCCTTGGTCAACTGATGAGGTGGCCAAGGGGTGGTGTGCCAGGACCTTGTACCTTTCTGCTCTCTCACTCTGCCCAGAAGCTGAGCTAATCTGATGAGATTTTAGGGATTACATAAAGAAGAACTCAATTGTTCCTGGCAAAGCTATCCCAGACCAATAGACAGCCAAGTGAACACTACATATGTGACAGAGTCCAGTCAAGATCAGCACAGCCACCAACCCAACTGTGGATGCCTGAATGAGCTCAGCTCACACACACAAAATGGGTTGGCTGAAGCATATCATGTGAAGAATCTTAAGTGCTTATTATATATAGCATTTTAGGGCTTTAAAATGCAGCAATCATTGAAAAATACAATGTTGTTTATGGAGCCAGTGATTCTTTTTTTTAAATCTTAGCCATTGCTGTAATCTATAAAAATGTCCTTTGCTCAGCCCCAGAGTAAAGATCAGATTAGCTCCTAGACCACTCTCTCACTTTAACTTTAAATAAACCTTTTAGAGCTCCATCATTGTAACTTCTGAACCATACAATTAAGAAGGGCGGGGTCATGCCTATCTTTCCAATTACTGGAGTCAGCACATTACAAATTATCTGGTATACAGAATCACTCGATAATTATGCTAAATGAACGAAAACTAAAAGTTCTTATGGATAAGGAGCAATGCCTCTAAGGAAACCTGATTGATACTGAAAGTGTCTCACTATTTTGGAAAGTTCTCCTTTTTAATAAAAAGGACCTGAACAGACACTTTTCAGAAGAGGATATACAATCCATCAACATATATACGAAGAAATGCTCACCATCTCTGGCAATCAGAGAAATGCAAATTAAAACTACTCTAAGATACCATCTCACTTCAGTCAGAATGGCAGCCATGATGAAGAAAAACAACAAAAAGTGCTGGCGAGGATGTGGGGGAAAAGGTACACTCATACACTGCTGGTGGGACTGCAAATTGGTGCAGCCAATTTGGAAAGCAGTATGGAGATTCCTTGGAAAGCAGGGAATGTAACCACCATTTGACCCAGCTATTCCTCTTCTCAGACTATACCCAAAGGACCTAAAAACAGCATACTACAGGGACACAGCCACATCAATGTTTATAGCAGCACAATTCACAATAGCTAGACTGTGGAGCCAACCTAGATGCCCTTCAGTGAATGAATGGATTAAAAAAAGTGGCATATATACACAATGGAATATTACTCAGTATTAAAAAATAATAAGATCATGGCATTTGCAAGGAAATGGATGGCATTGGAGCAGATTATGCTGAGTGAAGTTACCCAATCCCCAAAAAACAAATGCCGAATGTCTTCTCTGATATGAGGGGAGGGGTGACTCAAAATGGGGTAGAGAGGAAGAGCATGGGAAGAAGATTACCTCTAGATAGGGAAGAGAGGTGGGAGGGAAAAGGAGGGAGAAGGGAAATTGCATGAATGGTGGAAGGAGACCCTCATTGTTATACAAAATACATGTATGAAAAAAAAAGAATAGCATTACCTTAGATTAAGAAAAGAGAAGTGATGGGAGGGGAGGGGAGGAAATGGGGGGATAGGAAGGATAGTAGAATAAAACACACATTATTATTACTGTGTGTATATATGTGACTGCATGACCAATATGATTCTGCAACCTGTACACTCAGAAAAATGAGAAATTATATCCCTTCTGATTCAAATGTATGATATGTCAAGGTCATTATACTGTCATTTGTAACTAATTAAAACAAATTAAAAAATAATTCAATTAAAATGCTTTTTATTTTTCCTCTTGAGGAGAAAAATAACTCCTCCTTTTCTACAAGTTATGATGTTTCAGTAAAAAAAAAGGAAAACAGAAATACATTTATAAATGCAATAATATGAAGGAATGGCATCTGGCAGCATCATTCTTTTCTTAAGAATGACATCTTTAGAATGATGTCATGAACTTGGGAGTTTTCATTGAATGCTAGGTGTGATTATATGTCCAGTCATCTATATTTTCTTGTTTGTAGCTCTTTATGACTGAGGGAACAGATTTGAAAGATGGCAATCTGAGCTTAGAATTTAGACCCTATAATGCATTCTGGACTCACAAGAATTGGGATTGGAGGAGCAGACATGTTTTACATAAATGCAGCTATGTCCCTACTGGACTAAGAACTGCCTAGAATCTTAATTGAAAGGGGCAGAAGGGAATAATCTGAATATCTTATTTTTCTTCTTCAAAAAGATTCACTCACTTGTAATCTGTAACTGATATTTTCAAAGAATTTTAATTCATAAGATATCAGAAAGGTAATTCCAAGCAAATTGTAAGGTCAATTTTTACAAGGTATAAATAGAACCATTTGGTATAAGTCCAGAGCAACTTTCTAGAACATAAAATCAAATTTTAATAAATGGTGCCCTATAGGCAGGTGGAGATATTTTATATTCTTTCTTTAGTGCTTTGCTATGCATAGGAGGATGATTATAGAGTGGATTATATGCCTGCCTAGTGACTCAGAGTTTCCTGGGGTTGGTGGTTTGTAAATGAGGAATTGGTAAGATGCCACCATGGCCCTAGGGATCAGAGGGCCATTTATTGCCCAAAGAACTGATTTAACCTGACCCTTTGTGAGCCATTTCCCATTTCTGCCCAGTTAATCTGAGGAGTCTGACTTCCATGCACATTAGCCAGCATTCTTCCGTCCTCCACCCCCAGTGAGGACCAACACACAAGGAAAAAAACTCATTTTCAAATTCAATTTTTAAAATTTTATTTGAAAAATACAATACACAGCAGAGAATTATTTTCTCCCCTACTGCTCTTTTCACAAAAGAAACTATATGGTAAATGTAACTGAGATATTTGGCTAGGATAGATCCTGAGAAAAGAGAGGCCCAGCTAGAAGTGGAATAGACAAAGTCTGTCAAAGAAGGTTCACCTCTCTTTTAACATAAAAGAGCCTTTTAAGTTATCTTAGGAATCAGATAAAACATGTGCAGAATTTCTGCCATGCAAACAGAGACTACTGAAATTTTCAGGTTGACCAATTTATACTGACCTGGGCCCCAAGTGAGTAGAATAAAAAGGAAATGTCTTTATCTGAAAGATATGTGTTTATCTGCTTTTGCTAGACTATGTATGTACATATTTACACATTAATACTTTCGTAAAGGTATTTTTCATTATTCTAAATAATAGCATCAGGTTAAGGTCTCTTTTCTGGCCTTTGCCCTATTTGCATGTACCTTTTTTGTTCTTTTTTTTTGGATCATTCATCACACAATCATGGGCCTATGATGTATAAATATTAGAAATGACCTTACTCTGATTCTGGGTTATATCTGAGTTTTGAGAATTTATAACTCCTGCATTCAGACAGGTTTAGCAAGGTGCAAATATACAATACTGACATACTCATATAGCCAAGGCTTCCACCAGAAAAACATGCCTGCTTGGATCCTTGGGAAACTAATGAGGAACCAAAGGAAATAACCAAACTCTGGAGGCCTTGCTGGTAACCCTGCTTCTAAAAAATTAGGACCATCCCCCTTACTGTCATTCCCAGTAAGTAAATCCCACTGCTGCCATTGCCTAAGTCTTTGAAGACAGTCAGGCATTTAAAGTTTGCTCTAAATTTCCAACAGAAATGAATCACTACAGAGATCTAAACTGGTAAAAATAGAGATTTTTCTTTATTTGGCCCTAATAGAAGGGTTTTAACTCCTACAACGTTGGAAATGGGCAAGTGACATCCATTTGGGGAACAATGAAAAAGTATTTGATTATCCTTATTTGCAGATTTCTGTCAAATTATGGAGTCAATTAAAACTCACTTTCTTTCAAGATTTGCTTCAGCCAATTCAACACCTGCTAAAGGGAGCCAAAGTAACTCAGGTTAGTTTTAAAGATTGTGAAGTCGATGCCAAGAAGCACCTCTTCCTTAGATTATAGTGATGTTCACCCTGAATTCCACATGCTCGGTGTCAAAGATGTCCTGCAGACCCCGGGGGCCTATGGGAGAGGGCGCAGGAGACACATTTGATTCAAGCTTCACATTCAAGGAAAATCTGATATTTGTTTTAAAATAGGCTACTGTAGAGTTGTTTTTGAAAAGTGTTCATTCTTAAAAAAGTAAACATTTAAAATACGGCAGAGCTTTTGTGACCCTCTTTTGGCATATCTGTATTTTTAAAACAGAGGTTGTTGCAAAGAACTCTACTGACCTCTGAATGGATTCAGCATTCAAAATGGCATGGCCATGGTGGCATATTTGAAAGAAATATAAATCTGGGGTCCAAAGATCTGAATTGAAGTTTTAACTCTGCCTCTTTCTAGTTGCCTGGGATTGGACATGTTGTTTACCCTGTCTTGGCTTTATTTTTCTCATCTATAAAACAAAGCCATACTTTTAACATGTACATGGAGATATTATGAAATTGGATGAGACAATTACTGTTAATGTATTTTTGCATTTTAAAGCACTACACAAATGCAAATTAAAATATGTTAATCATGTTTCTAGAATTTATATAATTAAAATTGTGTGTCAGTATGTGGTTCTTTCCTATTTAAATTATGTGGAATCTTGGCCAGTAAAAAGTAATATAAGGAGGGAGCTTATAATCACTTGAGGACATTGTTACCAATGGAAAACTATTCAGTAAGAAGTTATCAGTGCTGGATTTACTCATGTATTGTATCCTAATTGCTACCTGCCATCAAAAACTATTAGTCAACAATTAAACCACAGCTGTCAGGAGAAAACGTCCAAATAAATAATTTTTAATTATGATACATTACTTATTACAGTAAAAATTGGCATTTTCCCCTTCAAAAGCAGAAGCACCAGTCTTAGAATGTATGCATGAATGGTATTTTAAGTGAAATATAGTATAATATAATGTGCAAACATTATTTTAGTATAAGACATACTTTCTAAAAGTAATTTCACACACTGAATTCTGTTAGAATGGAAAGAATGTCATGCTGAATAATAAAATAAAACCCCCATGACTTTCAAAGTCCACTTCAAATTAAATATGGTATACTGCTGAAGAGATATATAAAAAATTAAAAAGCTTAACTAGCCAAAAATCAAATTAAATATGGTATACTGCTGAATAGGTATATGAAAATTAAAAAGCTTAACAAGCTCAAAATAGAGGGTTTTCTTATACAAATATGACTCATGTAGAAGTTTCTTTTTCACATAGTTGCAGAGATTCTTTGAGAAACTAAAGTGAATATTTTATTTAAGAATTAATTTTTCATCTGATCATTTCATTTTTATTGAGCACCTAATCTGTGCTGCTAGGCTTTGTTGCAGATGTTGGAGATACAGAAAAGAAAGACACAGTCCTGCCCTCGAGGAGCTCACAGTCTAGTGGGGGAAACAGATAGGTTGACATTGATTTTAAAATTATAAAAATTATTAGACAACTTTATAAACTTCTATTGTAATCAAACAAACTTTGGGTGTTACGAATGGATGGTAAAAAGGGATGATGTCCAATGCAGGGAAAAACCATCTGCTTCAATATCATGTGACTTCCGCGAAGGCCGTGATGTGGTTCTGCAAAAAGAAGCAATTACAAAGTCAGTCTTGGGAAAACTGGTTCTGTAAAATATTTAGAGCTTTTACTAATCATCATTAGCCTAATACAAAACTTCAGCCCGAGGATGTAGCTTGCCAAAACGTACAGTGTTATTCAACTAAAATCTGTGTATTATTACGTAATTTAGCTGCTAATTATATATTTTATTCAATATTCTTAATTAACTGAATAAATTAAAATGTTATACCTGCTTTATTCAAAATTAACACCGAAATTTGGAGAGATAAAAATGGCAATGCCAGACATGTTAATATTCTGTTCAGTGTTAATGGAATTTTAATGCTGCCTGTTGGAGTTTCAGATTAATTGCTCCCTGTGAGACAGATGGCGTAGAATGAGGTGGTGAAATGCTCAGACTGAAGTGGCATTTGTTAGTTGACAAAAATCTACTTAAATATCTTATTTTTGATGCTTGAATTTAGATTCCAGACTGTAATATCTGTTTTTTACTTCATCCATAAAATTCTTGATAGAACTTGTGTTTTTTTTTTAAAGCAACAAATTATATATGGAGAAAACCTGAGGAATGACTAATATTTAAGTAGCATCAGGCATGCAATAGGCCAGGTCATGGCTGCTGGAATATTGCAGTGAAAATTGATATTACATAATTAATCATGCCACATTTGGGATTATGTTAAGATCTAACACGAATGACAACTTTTACAGAAAACAGCAACATGACAAAAGGGCTCCACCATCACATTACCCATTTGGAATGCTTTTAATAGTAGTTGTCACATTGGCTCTTTATAATACAATGGTATCATAAACAGAATTTCATATAATGAATGCATGCCATGAAATGTCTTCAGCATAAATTTAGTTCATTTCCAGTTAAAGTGTTTTAACCAGTTAAAACATACTTAAAATGTATGTGAGGATGAAAATGTATTTTCATTGAATTTAGGCATATTAAACAGCAAGAATGTGACTGACTATAATTTAAGGCATTGTTTTCTAGACTTGACCCATTTAATGCTAGAGAAAAACAATATTAGCAGAAGTCAGAAGTAAGCAGAGCATGCTGGCTGCTTCATGGAGTCCTGATAACATTTTAGAAATTTTAATTTTCCATTTAGATAATGCATGATAAAAAGGTTGGGAAATTCAGGAATTTATTGCCATGTTTTCCTTCCAAAAGTGCAGGCATGACATTGGGACGAGAAACAGTTTTCAGAGTTATATAATCCACTCTGATTGAATAAAAACCATAAGGAATTGTGGAAAGAATACATCTTCGCTTTATTTCCAGTGTCCCTGTGGGAACTTGAAATCAGTGAACTGAGAAAATACGATCTGATATAGAGTGTTTCAGTACAAAACTGACATTAGTGTTACACCTCTGGACAGGACCTAGAATTAAATAATTGCTAGAAAGTTAAGATAAAAATTGAAGATTAATCAATCAGTGGCAAATGATGGGTAGGGAAGGAGTAAAGAAGAGACACGAAGAGAGAGGAAAAGACATAAAAATGAACAGAAAATAGTGTTCTGAGGCCACTGGTATAGGCTCTTAGTGTTCCAGCTGTTGACCCAGATAAAGAGGGGACCACAGGCTCATTAAAATTGCTGAAGATAATTCTAAGTGAAGGTGACAACCAACACTCTAGTGGGTAGAATTAGATGTCTGGTGTTCTTAATAAGGCACAGAAATCACTAGAAACAAGCTATGGATGAGCAATGCAAAGCTTGACAGAAGCAGAGAAAAGACAAGTTCACAAGTGTCAGCTGGAGAGAGTACTTGAAGGGTGTGGTCACTGTAGGGGGCCACATAAATGTAGGTCATCATTTAACCTGGATGTGATGAAAGCTAAAAGGGGGCTGAACATAATCAGTAAGAGCAGACCTAAATTGGGACCATCTCAAAAAAAGTAATGTAAAATCACAATATGCTATGATTTGAATGTGTCACCCAAAAAAATAGGAGTTGGAGATTTATCCTCAATACAACAGCACTGGGAAGTGGAGCCTAATGAGGTAATTAGGTCACAAGGGTGAGGCCTTCATGCATGGATTAAGGCGATTATTGTGGCAGTGAGCTGGTTATAAAAGGGCGAGTTCAGATCCCTTCTCTCTTCCTTCTCTTTCTCTTTGCTTCCGACATAGGAGGATGCCACTTGAAGGCACTTTCCAGATGCTGGCCTCTTGATCCTGGATTTCCCAGCTTCCAGGACTGTAAGCCAACAGATTTTTGTTTATTATAAACTAACTGGTCTTTAGAATTCTTGTATAGATGCCTTAGTAATGAGGTATTGAACAGACAACTCTAAGTGTGCTACTGAGATCCAGAAAATGCTGGGATTCAAGGTTGTGATTTAAAATCACATGCTTCAGTGGCTATTCCAAACCAAGGAATATTACCCTTTCCTCCATGCCAAGTCATTATCAATTTAAACTACAAGGGTAACAGTTTATTTCCAGACTAACTACATTTTTAGATCCCAGGGTTCTGGGGGAAACTCTTTTGCTTTCCTCTTAATTAACACTCTTTCCATTTCATATCACATATAAGTTTTAACATCTGAGATGATTTTCCTATTTGACAGGAATTAGAAGGATCCCACTTGGGGCTCATCATTTAAGTTGGCTGTGGTTAGCAGAGAGCTAAACATATGAAAATAAAACATTGGAGTGTGCATAGGGAAGAAAGGGAAATTTAATATGATCTCAGTACATAAAAAAATTGCACAGAGAGGACAGGGGTCTCTTTATCAACTTCATTGTTTAAGAGCAAATGAATCTATACTCTAAAATGAAGGAGATGGATTATCTTCTTGTTTATTGCAGGCTTTTAAAATAAGATTATTTTTCTTCTACAACAAGGGTGATTTCCCCTGTAGGAATCTAGAGAAGGGACCAGATTATTATATAACAAGAAAATTATGTTACCATCTTTATGTTACCATCTGAGATTTTATATTACACAATATTTATCAATAAGGTATGTAAATACACACTTTGAAATATACAGATGTAATAATTCACGTGAAAGAAATTATGATATTGCTCACTTCCCCACTGATGTTTTTCTCAGTAATACAAAAAAAAAAAAACAACAACTGCATTTACTATTTCCATATCATGTATCTTAATGAGCATTGGGCTCAGTATGAAGCAAGCCAGATGACAACGAATTTTTCCTTTTGTGTAAATTGTTTTTTTGTTGTTACCTGGATTGAACCCAGGGGCACTTAACCACTGAGCCACATCCCAAACCCTTTTAATATTTTATTTAGAGACAGGGTCTCACGAATCTGCCCTTGAACTCAGGATCCTCCTGCTTCAGCCTCCAATGCTGCTGGGATTAGAGGTGTGTGCCACTGTACCCAGGTAAATTTGTGTGAAATCTTAATTATGCAATACTGAATCTTATTTCTGAAAGACAGTACAAACAAGCAATAGGCAAACCAAAATCTCATGCATAGAATTAAGTGGTCATATAATTTATCAGCACAATTTCTGGTGCTGTTCACAATTACACATGCCAGAGGCTTAAAGTGAAGATGATAGAACTGCAACCCAAGTAGGTAAAGTTTGGAATATCATACATGAACTATCCAATAGAAAGTGTTCACTCAGATCAACAGAAAGCATGGAGCAAAATACTGAGTCCAGTCCTTGAGTGCAGGGGTCCCATGGAAAAGCAGGTACTTCATTTCTAAGACATCTTTTGGATTCATAAATTTGGAAAATTCTAAAACCTATAGCATGTCCATTTTTAATGCTCTAAATTCTACATGAAAATCTATTTTACTATTTATTTTCCCCTCCCCATTTACAGAAATTATGCTCTGCAATGAATTTAAAATGCTATTTAAACCAGACTATCATTTATTTATGGCATAAACAATTGGTGATGACTTGCCACCTGAGATTTGCCACTCACCACTTCCTTTTAAAAAAATAGGGGAAATGAGGGGAGAAAAAATAAAAACATTACTCTAGAAAAGTATGCCGAATTAAAGCTATATGAAAACAAAATGTGAAAAGCCATTATTAAGGGACTATTTAGTTAAGGAATTTTAAATTCTCATTAATAAGTGAAAAATGAAAATATTTGAAAAATTAACAATAATTACAAGCAATCTATAGTGCCTAGGCCTCTTTTGGTTGTAATGGAATTCTGCACAGAAGGACACATTTTTCCGTATTTGCTTTTGCTTTGCAACCCAACTCCAATTCCAGTGCGCTCTAGCGCACATACGTTTATTGCCTTAAGTGAAGGTGTTCACAGTGGCTTACTCCTATTATCCAGCTGAACAGCCTGGCCAGACAGTCTTTAAAGGACCTTTCCTGTGAACTTTCTTCTTGGCCATTCTCAGAAGGTTGGTTTTCAGACACCTACAAAATGTGTTTTACATATTATTTAAATATTTACTTTTTTATGTAGGAAAAGCACCAGTTTTTTTTTTAAAGAGAGTGAGAGAGGAGAGAGAGAGAGAGAGAGAATTTTTAATATTTATTTTTTAGTTCTTGGCAGACACAACATCTTTGTTGGTATGTGGTGCTGAGGATCGAACCCGGGCCGCACGCATGCCAGGTGAGCGAGCTACCGCTTGAGCCACATCCCCAGCCAAAAGCACCAGTTTAAGTTCTAGGTTGCTAACGCTGCTAGATCAAAAGCTGAGATTAAATATTTTTCCAGTTCCTTCTTTGAAAATGCTTCATTACAAAAAGATTGGACTTTGTGTTTCAGTAAGAGATTGTCATCAATCAGGTTAGGTTTTTAATCTGAACATAAAATAGGATCCATGCATATAATGCCTTTAATTCAATGATCTGTAACTTTGACCCTGTTGGTTGGGGAGATGTGTCATTGGGCATTTTGCAGTCAGGTAGTTTGAATGTCCAGTGTTTGGATGTGGCCTCCAACACTGGGAAGTTTTCACAAATAATTTAACCTGAAGAACCAGCTTTCTCCTATGTAAAATAACAGATAATCCTATTTGAATGG